CTGACAGCACCTTTAGTTTAGCATCAGTGACCCTCTTTGCCTGCTCAGTCAGTTTCCTCTCTGACTCACGAAGAACACCAATCATTTCCTCTACCATTTCATGTATTTCTTCTAAGACTCCTTCTCCTCTCTCTCTGATCTCACCCTCTCTCTCTGCTAGAGCAGACAGGACCTTCTTGAGTGCTTCCTTCTTTCCCTCAACTGGTGATAGACATTCTCTTAACTTTTGACAGTGTTTAGTATAACTGTCAGTGATTAAGTCATATTCATGATGTTTGTGATTACGAGCTAAGCAGCTAACACAGATTACTGTATCACATGTTTCACAGAATAGCTCCAAAGGCTTTCCATGATCACTACATGTGGCCTCTTGAGGATTTGATAAATCTGCTGTCTTCTTTGTTAGACTGTACATCTCTTTGAGGTCGTTGAGGTGGAATGCTACAGGAAAGGCTCCTGCTCCTTCTTCTGGTAACTCTGTACAATGACGACAAGTGGGACAAGAGAGGTAATAGGTCTCATTCTTCTTATCCAGAGGTAATCCCTCCAGACAGTGCTCACAGAATGAATGTAGACAAGGTAAAGTCTTAGGGTTGGTATAGTGGTCAAGACACACAGGACAGGTGAGCTGTTCCTCCAGTTTGAGTCTGAGACCAGAAGATGGTTTGGTTGCCATTTCAAGAAAAGAATAAAATTGTGTACGTAAAGCAAGAACAAAAAATGAAGAGAGATAAAGGTAGAGGATGGTAAATGAAGATAGAGCAAGGACAAAAGATAAGAAAATGAAGAACTCGAAATGAACAAGAATACAAAGCAAAGTATAAAAAATAGAAGGAGAGACAGGAAGACAGCCCTGATGACCTCCTGGAGTATAGTAGTCTTGTGACTACAGGAAGTTATGATAGCACATTCCTTTATTATAACAACCAGTATATAGTAAATGAATGAAAATGTAAAGGAATGTAGCAACTGAAATTCTTGTATGGTGCAGCAAATGGTGTAAAACAATGTAGGATTTGTGATCTTATAACCATTAGATTATAGTCAGGTAAAATGAGGCAATTTGATTGGTCAAATGAGGTAATCTAAGTAGCTTAGTTACCTCTTAATAACTTCTTAGATTACTTGTTAATAACAATTATTTATAATAATAAAATTGTTATTTTTATTGAATATTTACAGTCAAATTTGTGCAGTTACTGAAAGCAATTCATGGTTCACCGTCCATCGACATTTAAAATTTTGTTTGTTGAGTATTTTGAATGTTCGCTAAACTATCTGATATCTCAATCATTTGTTCAGTTATGATATCCTCTTGTAGCTTCTCACTCCATCGATGCTATGGTGACCAGTGCATTGCAGTTGCTTGTAAAGAATGATTAGTTTTGACTCCTTTTATTCCTCCCATTTCAAACATTGTTTTTGTCATTATACCATTGTTTTGTTGTTTTGTTCATTATAGATACCACACACCATATGGTATAGAGTATTAGGAACATAAGTTCAGTGCCGTCTTCAGTTTTTCCTCACTTCCAGGACAAACATTTCCATAGATTTTGCTAGCTCTTCGCGACTGAGAGACATGATAAACGGAGTTTCATCAAGTTGTACTTGTAGCTTCCATCTACACCAAGTATTCCATTGGTTTATGCACCAATAATTGTTTCTACCCTTGTTTTTTCGCCCGGCGGTTACCGATGCCAGCACTCCTTGCTGGTTTGCGATAGCGTATCTTTATCCTTGTGCTGTTTGCTGCACAGCTCTAACAGGACAGGCTAGTATTGTAGAAGACATTGCCCAGTGATATCTTTGTTGGACCTAGCTAGTTTTGATTTGAAACTGTCTTGTGCTGTCGCTACGGCGTCTCCCAAGGTAAAATCACTGACCAATAGCTTTTTAGAAGATGGAAAAGACTGGTTAGCAACAGCATTATCCTTGTTGGTAACAAGCCCACTGCCTAACATTACCTGACTATAATCTAAAGAACCTAGACAACGCATTTTCGGTTTCTACGTGATTTAGATTACCTTGGAAACATTAATTAACCTCGAGCTACGCCCTCGGTTAATTAAATTTGTTTCCTCAGTAATCTAAATCACATAGAAACCTCAAATGCGTTGTCTAACCTATATTTAATGCATGCTCAGTAATGGACTGATCTTGCATGTTCACAAAAATCACTAAAATAAAAACCGCCAATTACAATTTCATAGCAAAATTATTAAAATACAAATGAAATAGCAGCTACTCCTGGAGATTCCATACTTCATGACCATCAGTTACCCATAGCATGTGCTGAGACTTGTAATCTCGTTATACATGCACATGTAAATGCACAGTACATGTATCAGAAAACTGAACAAAGACAAGTTTCATAGTTGTACATGTACATGTCATTAATTTCAGGAGTTACAGTTCTTCTACATGTTACAGTTACAGTTGAATCTTCTTATGAAGGACAACACTTCTATGCCTTATCTTGCTTTAAAACTCCTTCCAAACTTAAGAAGATTGTTAACATTTCATTGATTACCAAACTTACCATTTTATCTTACGTGTACATGTACATACACAAGTTGGTACATGTACATATACTGTATGTGTGTACCTCAGTGATGGTATTTTCCAAGTCTTCAGTTGCCTCTTTTGCCACAATATCAGAATCATCATCACTAATAGCACTGACTGATACTGCAGGACTGGGGTTAACACTATCAACTGATAATTGAACCTGAGGGGAGAGAGAGAGGGAGGGGGAGAGAGAGAGAGAGAGAGAGAGAGAGAGAGAGAGAGAGGGAAGGAGAGAGAGAGAGAGAGAGAGATGTATGAAATGTATGTACATGTAAATGCATGTGTTAATTAATACAGTGAATCCTCTGGATAACTTTTTTTAACAGACACTGTAACATATAATCAGTTTTATCCATTTACCACAGGAACATCAATAACATGTACATGTAATGTATAAGCATTAAATGAAAACCATCATGGTACATACTGCTTATAATGTCATCCACAGTACATGTGTATTGTCCATCATTAAAAATTCCGTTTATACATGTAGGTACATGTAAACCTTTAATTAGTAGGTGTGGCTTACATATTGATATTTCTGTTCAATGTTCTTCCTCATTTGACGTCTTTTCTCAATAATAGCATCTTCATCATCTTCAGACTCTAACGATACGTCCAATACACTGAGGGAAGAGAGAGAGAGACAGAACACTTAGTAACACATGTATAAACATTAATTATTGATACATACATGTACCCAGTACATGTACTAACGTATTTGAAAAAGAGTTTTAAAATTTGTAAAAAAATCCAATTTTGATCAGAATCAGCTCAAACTTTCTACACAACATAAGTACAGGTACATGTATCAGGAAATGTAATAAAAATGGATAATTCTCTACTTTTCATTTTTAGCAAAATTTGGCCCGTGACCCTGTACTATAGTACAGGGATTTTTATCCGATTTTGGAGTAACTTTAAAAATTCGTAAAAAATCCAATTTTGATCGGAATCAGCTTAAACTTTCCACACAACATATGTAAGTACATGTACATGTACATGTATATGTATCAGGAAATGTAATAAAAATGAAGAATTCTCTCCTTTTCATTTTTGGTGAAATTTGGCCCGTGACCCTGTACTATATAGTACAGGGACTTTTATCCGATTTTGGAGTAACTTTAAAAATTCGTAAAAACCCAATTTTGATTGGAATCAGCTCAAACTTTCTACGCAACATAAGGACATGTATATGTATCAGGAAATGTAATAAAAATGAAGAATTCTCTACTTTTCATTTTTGGCAAAATTTGGCCTGTGACCCTATACTATAGTACAGGGACTTTTGTCCAATTTTTGAGTAACTTTAAAAATAATACTAGTGTCATTGATAACTTACGCCTCCTCTTCAGATTCTCTCTCCTTCTTCTCCTCTCTCTTCCTCTCATGAGGGCTCCCTGATCTATCCTGTCTCCTTGACGACCGTCCAGGGGGAGAACGGGACCTCCTACGGGGCAGAGTCCTCCTCGAGCGATGAGGTGATCGTCGTGGCGACCGTGAACGAGGCCGACGTCTAGGGGAACGAGACCTTCTCCTCGCCGGACTGACTGACCTCCTAGTAGAGGAGGAGGGGAGGGGATCATCCCTTCTCTTTCTTGATCCTGATCTGCTCCTCCTACGAGGGGACGGTGACCTGTACATGCACATGTACAGTAAATAATGTTATTTTAATTAATAATGATTAATAATTAATAATAATAATAATGCTGCAATACTGTGTAGTGCTTTATTTTTGAGGAAAAAAACTTTGGCAGTTTTCATGGATTAGCACACACATACAACGTTACACATACGTTATAAGGGTCCTACTCAAATAAGCACCTATCACTAATATATTGCCACTATAGATACACATATTTGAGCCAGTTTTATGTGCCCTTGTGGTTGGAGTGGTCCAAATAGCCTATTGTTCATCCTCAGTCTTCAAAACATAGAGTTGCGGGAAAAAGCCATGGTTTTGGCACTTTTTTATTTTTTTTTGATTTTTACCTCTGTTAAGTAATAACACCTAGGCCATTACTTGAGGAAATATGGTATAACTGTATAGCAGGTTTTTTTGAGGGTAATAATTTTTAGGAATGACCTGTATTCCACTATTCTGTCATCTTGTACCGTATTAAATTGATTTTCAAAGAATTTAATTTTGTGAATCTCTAAAAATCTGCAAAATTCGCTATCCTTGGAAAAAACTGCTACACAGTACATGTATGTGTACATACATACATGTACATACATGTACATGTACAATACATTATGGTATTTACTATGGTGTTATTATGTACAGTACCTTTTCCTAGGTGAGTTTGATCTCCTCCTGTTATTCTCCATTGATCTGCTCCTCCTCCTCCTCCCTGGAGACCTCCTACCATATCTCTCCTCACTCCTCCTCTCTCTCCTCCTTGAGGAAGAACGAGACCCTCTTCTTTTAGGAGAGTGAGAATCCCTTCTCCTTTGATAGGGGGATGGGGAGAGTTGCCGTGGTGACCGTTGCCGTGGTGACTGTTGTCGTGGCGACCGTGACCTCCTCTTTGGTGATATCCAAGGTGCTGGTGGGGAACGTTTTCTTGGCGAAGGTGATCTACGAGATATTTTCGATCTTCTTGGCGACGGACTTCGATCATTTCTAGGTGAGCGAGATCTTTGTCGAGGTGAACGAGAACGCTTTCTTCTCTCGGGCGAGCGAGATGGTTGCCGTGGCGACCGTCTCCGTGACGGCCGCTCGTTTGACGAAGATGAGTCTTTTCTTTTGGATGAGAAATGGGCGGAGTCATTTAGCGGAGAGGAGTGGCCATTGTGAGAGGATTCGTTCTTGTCTCTTTTAGTCGAGTGAATCTTATGATGATCGGTCTCGTCTTTACTGGTTCTTCTGTGGTGCTTCTTGTGTTTGTGTTTCTTATGCTTTTTGTGTTTGTGCTTCTTCTTGGAATTAGAAGCATCCGGAGAAACACTAGGATAAGAGTAATAGTTTTAAAAATAATAATAATAATAATTATTATTATTACTAATTATACATGTACGTGTATATAGTTCTGGCTATGGTGGTTGGAGGTGGTCGGGACAACCACCTCAACAAATGAACCGACCAGTTCATCACTTAGACCAACCATCCAATTAATATTAATAACCATACATAAAGCATGATATTGTATAGAGATGTCCCGATAATCGGATCGGCATATCGGATATCGCCTTATCGGCTTATCGGCCTGTTTTTCATAGCATTGGTTATCGGTTTCTTTGCATGCATCTTGCAGATATAGCAACACATGGTCATATGCATGAGAATAAAGGGTTAATCAATTAATTTTAATACAATTATGTGATACAATAAATGTCAAAATGATTCTATAACTAGAAATACTTGATAATTAGTCAAGATACTAAATTGGGAAGTGTATAAATCACATTTTACATGTATAAACCTGTGCCTAGAAGGTAGAAAGGAAAATATCGGATCGGTATCGGTATCGGCCAGTAATGGCTATGTCAATATCGGCATATCGGCTAAAACCCATATCGGTACATCTCTAATATTGTAGTCTACTAGTATGGTGTACATAAATTTAAAAGGAACAATATTAGTCTCCAACCACCTCTAATTTTTTTCTAGGCAGAACCTTGCATCTAGTACACATGGGTAGGATAATTAATATCTAAAATAATATAATTATTACTAATAATAATAGTAATCTTAATACTACACATGACGTACATGTACAAATATTGATGTTAAAATTTGGCGAATTCCTTTGGCATGCTAGTCAGTTATAATTTTCAAAAGGAGCTCGATCTTACTCCATCAAACCTTCTACCTACATCTACAGATACATTCCCACACCCACAAACACTACATTATGTCTAGTATAATACCAACAATCTTGAAACATTTCAATGTCTTTACTTTGTGTCATTCTCTATATCATTCCCTACTCCATTATTCTTCTCTTCGTCTTCCTCGTCGTCTTTAATGAGTCCTTCCTCTTCTGAGGAGTCCTCTGCCTTATCTTTCACATCCTCTGGAGTCCCGAGAGAATTACTGGAAGGTTTTGTAAGAGGCTCTGAGATCGACGCCATTTTGATATCGTGTATGTGACGTTGTGGGCGTGCCCACTAACCAAAGTGGGTGTGGTTTATATTAAAAATTAAAATGGCGGATGCTTTTTCATTCAAATTCAACTGCTTACAACAAGAAAGAAAGGGGAGAGAGGGTTTCTTTGTAAACAGTGTTAGATACTAGAGACATATTTTGTTAAGATAAGAGGATTAAACTCCATAAAAATAAGTAAATTAATGAAATAGATTATCAATTGTATTCATGATGGGAGTGTGCATTGGGCGAGGCTTCATTATCAGCAACAACCAAAGAGAGGAGTTCGAGTCTCCTGCTGTCTTCATAATGGAGAGGCCAGTAACGGACGTAAAGTTTGTCTCTTCTCCTGATAACTGCCCTAAAGGCTACACTATGGTAAGTATGGTAAGATTGCGACTCTTAGCTGCTCTGTGTAAAACCTCCCTACCTTGTAATGCTTTATTGAACCTTGAAAAGTGCGGCATTATTTTTTTACAAGCATATCACTAGACTGCAGTATTTGATGTACTAGCATTCTTCCTCTCTCTCTCTCCTTCTACAGGTCAGGGAGTGTCCTTGTGGCCATGATGCTAATCTCTGGGTGAAGTTCTTAGGTGCTAAATCTGAGGAGAGATATCTCTGTTATACCAAAGAAGAGAGAGATGTAATAATAATAATAATGATGATGATGATGATGATGATGATGACGATGATGAGTGCATGTACATAATGCAATACCAGCAATATCTGTTAATAATTAATGGCAATATAAGATACACTGTATTTTGTAAGACTTGCCTTTTTTGAATTTGAGCAGTACAAACAAAAGTTAATGCATACTGAACTTAAGGTATTTCCTGGTGGAGGAGTGTATACCCCATTATTACTGATACTAGAGGACACACAAGTGGTACTATAGTACTGGTATAGTCCCCTATTACAGTACTCCTTGTGATAATGGTGGTGGTGTTTCCTAGAAATATTTGTATAAACAGATGAACACTTTATGTGTTACATGACACCTATGTTGACAAGAATTCAAACTATTTCATGTAGCTATACTTTTACATCTACTCTCTCCCTCTCTCTCTCTCTTCCTTTCCCCTCTCCCTCTCTTCCCCCCCTCTCTCCCTCCCTCCCTCTCTCTCCCTCCCTCTCTCTGTCTCTCCCTCTCTGTCTCTCCCTCTGTCTCTCTCCCTCCCTCCCTCCCTCCCTCCCTCCCTCCCTCCCTCAGGATGGTAAGATAGTAGAGGATATGTACATACCTGGTAAAGGTGAGCGCTACATTGTCAAAGGATTTGAAGTTATCAAGAAAACTGTTGAAGGTATTGAATAGTATATTCACGCTAGCAATCTTCTTCTCTTTCTGTCTCTTGTTGAAATAGCATCTCTTACTTAAGCTACAGTCACTATGTTGTGATCTCTCTCCCTCTCTCACCTTCCCCTCCCTCCCTCCCTCCCTCTCTCCCTCCCTCCCTTCTTCCCTCTCTCCCTCCCCATCAGGTGATGATACACTCAACCACAGGTTCATTGCGTACAAGAGGGTAGATAGAAAGAGAGCAAGTACTGCAGTGTTTGATGCAGCTGTGTTTAGGAGTAAGGACAATCCAGCATCAACTTTTAAGAAACTGGGAGCGTAAGTTAGAGAGAGAGAGAGAGGGAGAGGGAGAGAAGTTAAAAGTGAAAGGAGGAACATGTACATGTATTCTCTTATTGATTGATTGCTTATCTCAAGAACTTTTGACCCTTTTATCTAATCAGCTCATTGATAATTTATTTATTTAATTATAAGCAGCTATACAGTTTGACTAATAGAAATTTAATTCAAAATTAATTTCAGATAAGATACATGTACATTTTGATACTGTTCTTTCTCTTTTAGGAAACTCAACAATCTCTACATTTGCATAAGAGTAGCTAAGTATAAGTACAATCCTTCAGATCACAACCAAGCCACGCCTACCCCACCAACTAACACTCGTAAACCATCAGTCGATAAACCAGCCCCTCCCCTTCAGAAAAGAACGTCTCAAGATAAAGGAACTCCGCCCGTTTCTTATCAGTCGTCAGTAGATGATCCGTCAACTCAATCTGGAGCCACACCTACTTCTTATCAACCATCTCCGCCCACTCAAGGATATAGTGCTCCGCCTACTAGTTACGGGTCTCCGCCCACTCAAGAATATGCTCCGCCTATAAATCAAGGCTATAGTACCCCACCTACAAATCAAGGCTACAGTGCCCCACCCACTAATCAAAGCTATAGCACCCCACCTACTAATCAAGGCTATAATGCTCCGCCTACTAATCAAGGCTATAGTGCCTCACCTACTAATCAAGGTTACAATGCTCCGCCCACTAATTACGGCTATAATGCCCCACCCACTAATTACCCACCAGTCACTCGAAGTTATAATCCACCACCAACCAGTTATGGCAGTTACGGCTCCCCGCCCAGTTCTAATGCCCCGCCCACCAATCCAGGAGGAGGGGGTGTGGCTTTAGGATTTGAGAACCTTGACCTGGATCAGCCCATACCAGAAGACTGGACTTGGGAAGACGAAGATGAAGACGAACAATCAGATTCAATGAGACCTCCTGTCCATGAAATGGCTACACTATCGATGACTCCTAGTTTAAGCTCCGCCCCTCCTCCTCCCCCTGGGACCTATGGCTTCTCTTCTCCCTCTTACCCTACGTCTTACGGCCCTACCGGTTACTATGGTAACACCCCCTCGTACCCTGCCCCCCCACAACCGGGTAGTTATGCTCCCCGGTACCCGCCCCCTCCCTCAAACCAGTACGGGTACATGCACAGTACTGGGCAGCCTTCTTATCAACAGGCTCCACCCCCTAGCAACCCAGCTTATCAACAGGCCCCACCCCCTGGCAACCGGGGATATAGTGGATACCCTGGGCAGTTTCCGCCTCCCTCTCATGGTGGCGGCCATATTGGATTCAATATTTGAATATATTGACAATGGATGTGGTTTGTTTCAGCAACATTAACATTACATAATAATAACCTGTGACAATAATAATAATAACAATAATAATAATAATAATAATAATAATGTGTGTTTACAAAATACATGTAGCTTGTAGAACAGCAAAAAAATTAATTATAAGCAAAAAAATGTATAAATTTATATTATTCTTTTCCATTTAATTATATTATTTAGCAGTAATATTTTGTGTCATAAAAATGTCAATAATTTATTATCAATATTAATATCACACTAGACTGGTGAGACCACTCCTTCAAAGAGAACCTTCTTTAGCGTTTGCTTGACTTGACTGTGCCTAGTGCTAAAGTGTTTCTGTTGCACTGAGAGAAAATGATTCAATAACTTGTCAAAATCAATATCTTTTGGAGGATGTCTGCTAACAACCCTGGAGAGAGAGAGAAAGAGTAGAGAGCTTAAAATTAAATTTTTTATTCTACGCCCACTCACGCGTAGGCGGGCTCGTTTGCGTGGGTGTTTAATTATCAACTCATTAATATTCATTAGACACGTGGCGCTAGGTGAGCTTGCATTTTGCCACATCACAAATTTAAATGATGCACATTCCTCGGTGACTTGACAGATTTTCATAATTCAAAGAAAGAAGGAGCTTTAAAGCTTAGAGGCTCTTCAAATCAACTAAAGATAGCTGAGAAAACAGAAGAGAAGAAGACAGAAATGGCCACAGCAACAGCTACCCAGTCCTTTGAGATTAACTTTGGTTCTGCACGTTGCAAGCCACCACCACGATTCCTTGTGCTCTCAAAAAGGAAAGCAGTCACCAAGGAAGTACTTTTGGAGAAGCAGAGATCAGCAGAAGAGAGAAGGAAAGTAAGACAGAAAAGTTATACTTAGATACATGCATCATTCTAGTTCTGCATGCATATATGTACATGTATATTTCTCTCCTTTCTCTCTAAAGGCATTCATACAAGCAAGGCTGGACCGTATTCATGAAAAAGATGAAGAGATACAGCAACTCATTAAGAGCCTTGACACTGCCCTGAGGCGACAATCAAAAATAAACCAGCACTAAGAAGAACACCTCCACATCAGAAAAAAGACTGAGAGACATTAAAATACATTTTTGTGACCATGCCTGCATGTATGTACTTATAGCTATAATATACATAATCATTATCATTAAACTTTATTTTAACACAACATTATACTAGTACTGGATTATAATGGTGAGATACTAGGGGAGAGAGAGAATGTAATAGAGCAACAGGGATTACAAAGAATTGATAATGGTGCGATAATTGTAAGCCTTTCTTGGAGTGCAAATATTTTTTCTCACTTCTTCCAGCAAAAAAAAGAAATGTAATATCTCATACATGTAAAATAAACAGGCAGTTTTAATGTGGCATAATTAAATATAGTACAAGATGATTTATTGGAGAGAGTAAGATTTGGCAAATTTACCTGTGGAAAATTAATTGGCAAATTTTGTAGTGGCAATTTTGTGCAATGTGCCATTGAGCATGCTCAGATTGAAACAAAATGGCAGATTTTATATTAGTGATTTCTTCATAGAACTGCCAATCGCTAATATTAATTCCTCGCCAATAAATCATCTTGTACGGTAGCTGACAATATCAAAAGGTGACGATATACTCTTACTTCTTCTTGTTCTCAGAGAGTGTGGTCAGTATGGGTACACTGGATAGTCTGCCATTGAGAGATTCAAAGGCATTAGTCTGAGGAAGGAGCATCAGTAGACCATACATAGTCTGGACTAGGTTAGGATACTGGTTTGGTGATAATAACTGTAACCTTAGGACTGTAAAAAATGGATAGTTACATCAATATGTATCAAAAAATGTAATAAAAATTTGGCGTAATTTCAGAGCCATTTTTCAGAAAAACCATGGGCTATAGCCTTAGGTATTTTTTAGAATTTTGGCATTTTGTTAAAATGGCCGTAACTTAATAAAATTAAGTTGGAATTAGCTCAAACTTGCTACACAGCATAAGTACATCAATATGTATCAGAAAATGTAATAAAAATTCGGGGTGATTTCGGAGCCATTTTTTTGAAAAAAAACCATGGGCATAGCCTTGGGTATTTTTTAGAATTTTGGCGTTTTCTTAAAATGGCCATAACTTGAAAAAATGAAGTCGGAATCAGCTCAAACTTGCTACACAGCATAAGTACATCAATATGTATCAGAAAATGTAATAAAAATTTGGGGTGATTTCGGAGCCATTTTTTGAAAAAACCATGGGCTATATATAGCCTTGGGTGTTTTTCAGAATTTTGGCGTTTTCTTAAAATAGCCGTAACTTGAAAAAATTTAAGTCGGAATCAGCTCAAACTTTCTACACAGCATAAGTACATCAATATGTATCAGAAAATGTGATAAAAATTTGGGGTGATTTCGGAGCCATTTTTTGGAAAAACCATGGGCTATAGGTATTTTTCAGAATTTTGGCATTTCTTAAAATGGTCGTAACTTGAAAAAATTAAGTCAGAATCAGCTCAAACTTTCTACACAGCATAAGGACATCAATATGTATCAGAAACTGTAATAAAAATTTGGAGTGATTTTGGAGCCATTTTTTGGAAAAAACCATGGGCTATAGCCTTGGGTGTTTTTCAGAATTTTGGCGTTTTCTTAAAATGGCTGTAACTTGAAAAATTTAAGTCAGAATCAGCTCAAACTTTCTACACAGCATAAGTACATCAATATGTATTAGAAAATGTAATAGAAACTAGAGACACAAGCATGTACACTCACAGGTAAATATTGGTGATTCTATTAATTGTACTAGTCTATCAGTTTCTTGCAGCACTTCTGAAGTGATCTCAATTTCACCACTAAACAACAAGAAATGAAAACAATTACTATTATTATTAATACTTACAATTTAGCTACTATATTAGCTGCGTGTTGATAATTCTGTGACAGTAGACACAGAGCCACTGTAGCTATGGCATTGTGACACCAGCAGTCATAAAGACTCTTGAACAATATCCAACTGTCCTGCAAGAGAAACACATCAAGTATTAACAATAATATCTGGAAGATATTATATTAAAATTCAAATGATATTATAAGGAGATAAATATTGCAATTGTTCAGTCTATAGTAATCTCAGAGGTGGATTGATGTTAAGTGATGGAGTGAGATCAATGTAAACCAATGGCAACAAGCATAATTCAGCTGCTGCTATGTGTTGGTATACCTTAAGCCTACTATTTTTAGCATCTACTAAATTTAGCTATATTAGCGAGAGAGCTTTAAATCGCTAAATTAAATAGACGCCAAAATAATTATTATTCATTATAATGGTTATTATTTATAGTTAATTTGGTTAAAAACGCTAAAATTAGTAACGCTAAACATGACTTTTGCTGATTCCGCTAAAATTAGTAGACGCAAATAATAGTAGGCTTAAGGTAACTCTAGACTTTGATGGTCAATCTTTAATGTGCATGTACTTGTGTATGGTTGTTATTACTGTAACCACATTAATTACTGCTGATGCATGCACATTATTATCTAATGTTGTGTAACCTTAGAACTTTCTAGACTCTGTGGTTTTATGAATCATGATTCTCAGGAGCGTATCTAGAAATTTGGAAAGGTAGGTGCTGAAGGCACGCGAAGCGCACCGCGATTTTGGCCACACCCCTTTTTACGGCGGTAAAACGGCGTTTTTCTTCATTTTCATGAATTACGGGTGGGGTCAAAATAATTTCAAGCATACTGGTACTTCTGACGACTTCTGATCGCTCCTTAAAGCACTGGAAACTGCTGAAATCATGATCAGGGGGCTAGATAACTTTGTTAAGAGGCTTGGTAGTGATGCAAGAGTCCAGGATTGGAGTAATTTTTTCTGAGCCCAGCCATGAGGGGGCAGGTGCTCAAGCACCCCTCAGCCCCTGCTGGATACGCCCCTGCTTTTTATTGATTTTTGTCAGTTGTTCAGTTGTTGTTCAGTAGTTTGCTTAGTTGTTGTTGTTCTCAGTAAAATAATCTAACACTATGCTAGTGTGAACAAGATCAATGGGGATTATTATAGCAGCTGTTAGCTGTATTCATGTACATGTACATTGTACATGTGCACTTTCTGAGTTTCCCTATTACAGTGTTAGGGACGAGTCAGGAGTTCAGGACCACACTCTTTCTCAAGCTATCTATTCACAGTCCCTCTCTCTCTCAAAGATGTCTGCTTCAGGTATTTTAAAGCTTGTACTAGTATAGCTACATCCTTTTGTATCATTTAGTGAACTACAGTAAGGAGAATCCACAAGATCCTTTTGTTAAAAGAGAACTAACTACAAGTAAATATTAAATAATTCTAATTTTCTGGCATTAAAACTCTTTGTTTTATATAAAGGTGATCATGGTACCATTATGGGACTCATTGACAAAGATATAGCTCCAAAATATAAAGAGCTGGCTGTACAATTCCGTATCCCTCAGGGTATAGTAGACACCATAGCCTACAATAACAGAAACAACTCAGCATGGGATGGACTAAATGATGTTGTTGGTGATTGGCTGAAAGGAAATACTGAAGTCTATGATGAAGGAGTTAAAGCTAATGTAAGGTGGCTGTATGATGCTGTAAGAGCAATAGATCATAAGCACCTTGGAACAAAAATTGCCAAAGGTAGATCTATTTTTCTAAATATCTTTAAAATTGAATTTGATATCTCAAATGTTTTACGTACAAAATCCTTTCATAGAGTTTGGGATGCCAGAGCCTAGTGATTCGTCCACTCAAAAAGGTAGTATTGAAAACAAAAGAGATGATAAATATTCATCAATCACTTAATTTTATAATCTCATTTCTATAGCAGACAAAGGAGGAACTAGTACTGGAATAGAAGAGACTGATTCAGAGTAAATACTCCCTTACAATAAACAAGCATTTTTGTTGTTCTTACAGAGAAACACTCGGAAAATCAAGAGATGCTCAACATAATCCTGATCCTATAACAGGTAGACAACAGCTGATGGTAGAGCTGTTACTCTTTATAAATAGTTACTCTTTATAAATATCTTTATCAATAAAGACAAGGAGCTTGATATGGCCGCTGTCATGAAGATATTTGGTTCTTCTGATCACCATTACATGACAATTGGGGCTGGATTGGGTGTGAAGACTGCTGATCTCCAACAAATACCAGGAACAGCAAGTACCAATCTTATTATTGTATTCCAGAGGTGGTTTGATGCTGATAGAGATGTCAATTGGGATACATTAAAAAGACTTTGTGAAGATTATCCTGATAAACTGGGCAAAGCAAAATCTAACCTTCCGGCACATAAAGGTAAGCTAATATAACCCAATACTCATTGGCTCTGTGTGTGTATAACTGCCATAAATACTTAGCTCTACTTTACTAACTTAACTTAGTTCTACATTCACATTTATTTCTTTATACCTTCACTAATTCAATAGATATTATTATGTCATAATAATTTTTGATTATTAATAATCACAATGAAATCTAAGTCATAATGTATCTGCAGGTGCTGAGAAAGATAAAGAAAATCAGCAGGAACAGAGCCAAGGTAAATGAAAATGAGTAGATCAAGTATTATGAACACAAATAACAATACTGGCTATTACTTATATCTTCCATCTACTATTTAGACAATAATGTCAAGAAATTAAAAGTGGAAAAAGAAGATTAAAAATTTAAAATGAAGACATGCCAGATATCAATTGATACATGACATTAGGATCTTTACATTTTAGTTAACTAAACTGACATTGTTAAAAATAAACTCTTAAACTATCCTACAAAAAGAGACACATCATGTCAACTAATAATAGCAATAAAATAATAAGTAGAAACTAGAATATTATTATTAAAATTTAAAGGATGGATTGATGTGAAGTGATGCAGTGCGATCAATGTAAACCAATGGCAACAGGAACTGTGAGAAACATGACATCGACACAAAAGCAATACATAATCCAGCTGCTGCTAGCTCACGTGCTCTTAGGCTGTATTATATTAGTTGCGTCAGGACAGTTCAGGTCCTTCAGGACAAAACCTCTCTCTTCTCTTTCTCAAGCACTAGCAGTCAAGCTATCAATTCAATTCACAGTCCCCCCTCTCTCTCAAGAATGTCTGCTTCAGGTATTGTAAAGCTTGTACTAGTAGCTACATCCTTTTGTATCATTTAGTGAACTATAGTAAGGAGAATCCACAAGATCCTTTTGTTAAAAAAGAACTCACCACAGGTAAATTATTTGTCATGATAGCCTGCCATTAAATACTTCCACAGAAGATCATAGTAGAATTATGGGACTGATTGAAAGAGACCTACCTACATCGTTCGTAAAATTGGCCCAAGAATTTTGCATCCCAACAGGACAAATAAGAACCATAGAATATAAGTCAAACAGAAATAATGATCCATGGCATGGTCTAAATGATGTCGTTGATCAGTGGTTGAGATGGAACACTGATGCCTTTCATGATAAGGTTAAAGCTAATGAAAGATGGCTTTATGATGCTGTGAAAGAAATTGATGGTGCTCTTGCAACAAAAATTGGCAAAAGTATTTTCTAAAACTTATCTTAAATGCATGCATTCATGTCTACAAAATATTATTTATAGAGCTTGGGATCTTGGAACCAAGAGATGATGGGCTCGCTCAAAATGGTGAGATTAGAAACAATAGTCATAATAATACATTTATAAGAGAATGAAAAATATATATTCAACAATCACTTGATCTTAATTAAGCCTGCATGTTATCCTGCATATTGTTCATGATGTACTCATGCCTTGTTGCAGTACTAGGTACAGCTGCAATATAATAGCCAGTAGAGCTGCAAAGTGTTGTATGGTAATATTACATCATACATGTAAATATGTAACATTTGAGCAAAGTGATGGGTCCACTCAAGGAGGTAAGATTAGATTAGAAACAAAAAAATATTCCACAATTACTTGGTCTCATCTCATTTCTATAGCAGACAAACTTTACTAACTTAACTTAGTTAGATATACAGTGATCTTTATTTTTAATTACAATTACATTACAATAATTCAATAGTTAAATCTAACGTCATATGTACACGTATCTGCAGGTGCTGGCGAAGATCAAGAAAATCAGCAGGAACAGAGCCAAGGTAAATGAAATAAGTAGATTGAGTATTATGAACACAAATAACAATGTAGGCTATTACTTATATCTTCCATCTATTGTTTAGACAGAAAGTAAAAGTGGAAGAAAGACATGCCGGATCAATTGATGCATGACATTAGGATCTTCACATTACATGTAGTGAACTAAACATTGTTTAAAATAGTTGTGTGTTTAATAATAATATTCATCATTTTTTGATGATAAATGTTATACATGTAAATCCACATGCTATCCGTCCGCATCAAGCAAGAATTTTGTCAGCCAAAAATTTCGTCAAAACGAAAATGCCTGACAAATATTTTAAGGAGAGGAATATGCAACAATATAAGAAATATACCGTATAGCGGGAAATTTTGGAGGGAGTTAAACTCGGTGAATTACTAAATTTTGGTGATCGGCAAATTTTAATTTGGCAAATTTGTGGCCACGTGCCATTGAGCATGTGTATAATGTCTCAAAATGGAGGATTTTATTTTTAGCGAATGACTATCAAAATGCCTCACTTGAATCCCCCCAAAATTTACCACTATACAGTATAAATAATATCAGTGGATTCTACATGTACATATTCTGGTACTTACTGGTCCGTCCATATTCTGTAGCTGCATACGAAGATCAAACAGTTCAGCAGAACTAAAGAGGATAGTGTTCAGTTCCCGTACCATCAGTGAAGCAAATGATAGTTTCTCTTCAGTTGACAGTATCTCAGCTAGAGTACAGTAGACTGCCTTAGCATCAACAAACACACACAAGTGCCTAATGGGAGGGAGAGAGAGGGAGGGAGAGAGGGAGGGGGAGGGAGGGGGGAGAGAGAGAGGGAGGAGTTTGAGTAATACATGTACAGTATAATGTATATATGTACATGTACCGTAGCTAAAAAATCTGGATTCATAAAATTTGGCAAATTGTTTCTCAAATTTGGTAACTAAATTTAGACAAAACATATACTGTAAAACTACAAATTTTAGCGTGCTACAAATTTTAGCGATATTAGCAAAGAGCCTAAACAAGCTAAATTTAATATTTACTAATAAAAACACCCGGTCACGTGATCACAAGATGTCGCTGATACTATACTAGTAGATAGATGGCTCTCTTCTGCTCGGTCGGCAACACTACCAGAGGAAGGAGAACCCAGTGGAACGACAGCAGCAGCTAACAGAAAAGTGGGAAAGGTTTAATGATACGCCAAATTTAATAGTCGCTAATTTGACATTTAAGCATAAACACTAAATAAAGTAGCCGCTAACATTAATAGGTTTAGAGTAACCTCCACATGTACCATTACACAAGTACCGTATATACAGTTAGAGTTACCTAATAATGAGACTCCCTTTGTTCTCTAGTAATATCCTGTCACTGTTGAACATTTTCATCAATTCAACCAGAAACAATTTAAAATATTTATTCAAAATAATAATGGCCGTACTCTCCTGCTCCTGACGTCCCTAGAATTGTAATATTAATAATAATGATAAGCCACACCCACTCCGCTACCTTTTTCTTGGTGGCTACAGGAACATCACACGTCTCATGGCCAGCGTCTGACATTGATAGGGTAGCTATCACTTTGAGGGTTAAATTTAACACCTGAAGACAAGAAGAAAATACATTATTAATTAAAATTGATACTGTACGGGTATTAAATTTTGTGGGTAACTTCTCAACCAGAAAAATTAATACCATGGAAATGCTCACTGAGCATGCACAGCATGTGAAAATCAATGACTTAATGAAAGTGCACGTGCAAAAACGTGAAATTTAACCCCCTCGGAATTAAAGAATTAAGAGCTTTTCACTAAAACACGAAATTTTATACCCTCGGAATTTTCTACCCGTACGGTATACTCGTTAAATGTACATGAATGAAGATTGAAGACAATGAGAAAATATATAATTAATATATATTTACATGTGCATTTATTGTAAGTATTGCATTGTTGGTAGTATCTTTAATGATACATTATTAATTAAAATTAATTTAAAGTTGGTCCCTTACTCTGTCAGAGATATCAGCTAACATCCTTTGAAGAGAAGGAAAGAGTTTACCAGTTTGTAAGTACATCTGAGAAATGAAATAATAATAATAATAATAATAATAATAATAATAATAATAATAATAATAATAATAATAATAATAATAATGAGAAATTGAACTACATGTGTACATGTATACTATATCCCAGTTGAGTTTGGGACAAGAAAAACTGGAATAACTTTTTATAGGAATGTGGGATAAGGATGAAACTTTCACAGGTTCTTAGTCGCCAAAGTCCATCAAAATCTGTGAAATCTTGGGTCTCTCAACTCTTGGGAACCCTGAGAACCGGGTTCTCCCTATAAACCCAATGGCATACCAAAATGACGTTTTATGACAATTTATCTACGTCATAGTTTACATAAGAACATGTGGTCGAGCGCCCAAACTGATAATTCTTGTTTTAAAAAGCTAACAGAGCAAGATCTTCTGATAACGATGGCCTTTATGAAGACTAGTTGACTCCAGTAGCTATTGTACTGCTTATCATGAAGAGCAAGACTGTTTAAGAGTGAAACAACACAGCCGCCATGCTTCTATGAATATCATTAAAATACGTCATTTTGTGACGTAGCTACATTTTTCAAATTCCACGCAGCTGCTTCCACTTCCGTCCCAAACTGAACTGGGATATAGTATACATGTACATCACTATAAAGCAAATGGTACAAAATTTTGTGAATCGCCAATCCACACACAATAATATTAACTAGTTATTAATAGTTATTAACTAGTTATTAATAGTTATATTGGTAGTTATTAATATAATATTCTTACTCTTTTTGGTAGCTTGTCGTGTAACCATAGCAACCAGCGAAGCGTCTCCAGTTTAGTTTCTTGTTCAGTGAAGCTCATATGAGGCATGAGGACACCAAGCACAGTCAATAAACTGAACTTAACCACACCCACCTCTCCTGTATCAGGACCCTCAGCATTAGAACCAACCTCGTTAACACCAGTTTGAGTGGGCGGGATTGGTTGTGTGGGCGGGGCAGTTTGAGTGGGCAGAGTCACTTGAGTGGGCAGAGTCACTTTGGTGGGTGGGGCAACATTTGTAGATGTCTTTGAGGTTTTTGGTGAGGTGGTTTTACCAGACACAACTTGTTTCCTGATTCTCGTTGGAGATGATTTCGGGGATTGCGTGGGCGTGATGTTGATCCCTGGTGATCCGGTCATGAGATTAACTTGAATCTGATCAGTGAGATCAGTGTTAGTGTCATCATCGTCAGTCGGAAGGATCAACTCTTTCAGTTTTCTATTAACATTTGAGGCCACTCGTCTAATGTCTGTTGATAAAATACCATAAAAGTGGAATAGTTTACTGCCTTTATTATTTAATCTTTAAATTTTTACATGTTA